ACCAACACCCACATCCTGTGATAATACAATTTAATTGCTTGAATATTTTCCTTAAATATAGCCAGCTTAATATAAGATTTCGAATTATGTTTTATCGAGTTTAAATAACAAGTAACGCTCGTTCGAGGACTCGCTTAGCTCTTTCTCGTAGAAATGCATTTTCTTCACATTTATTGGAAAAACAAATGCAAACCGCAAAAAAATTGATTTTCGATGTTTTTTTGACCCTACGGACACACCAGCAGACAATTTATGTTTACTGGACTCTTCTCTACGAGAAAGAGAATATTGTCAGCAGAAATGAATTCATGATAAATTTCAGTGATGTTATCATTGAGCTTTTTTTCTTTTAACTTTACAACGTTTTCGTCGATAGATGGATTACTCACCAATAAAGCATTAAATTTGTACTATATTTTCTTCAATAGTTAGATCACATGTATGTAATATGACAGTCGCTGATACTGACATTTTATTATTACAGATTTCGCTATACTTCATATAATGCTAAGATTGAATCTGCTGACAAGAAGTTATGACGCAATTTATTAATATTTTCAGTTCCGATATCTAATCAGAACATAATTGATTTTAATTTAGATACAATTTATTCTTCTCTTCAGCCGACAAGGTAAACTCCGCCTTCAAAAATGGTATACATCTCAAACAGACAAATCAAAGAAGAAAATAACACGTGAAATAATTGCAGCTGTACTTTCACGTAAACCAAAAATGTCTAGTTTTCTCGAATGGAAAGATCTTAAAGTAGTTTATAAACGGTATATTACTGATTTTATTTTATTAATAAAAATTTCTTTTCTTTTTTAAGTTATGCTAGTTTGTATTTTTGTTGTGCAATTGAACAAGATGATAATGAATTATTAACACTTGAAACAATTCATCGTTATGTTGAATTACTTGATAAATATTTTGGAAGTGTAAGTCACTATTTATTAATAAATTATTTATTTTGAATAATTATAGGTTTGTGAACTTGATATAATATTTAATTTTGAAAAAGCCTATTTTATCTTCGATGAATTTATTTTGGGTGGTGAAGTACAAGAGACAAGTAAAAAAAGTGTTTTAAAGGCAGTTAATGATCAAGATGTTATTCAAGAGGTAGGTTCTCTATATTTTGTTTTTTGAATTAATTTTAAAGGAAAGCTATTCACACACATGCATATCTGTATAATTTGGGAACTAATGCTATTTATAGGATGATCAATTTCAAGAAATACTTTATGAATCTGGACTTGTTTAACATTGATTTCTTTTTTCGAAAAAAAACGAATATTCTCCTTCTCCTTCTTCTTCTATCTTAAAATTAAATAAATTTATGCTTTGAAGCTTTGATTATATATATATATTTCTAGGTAGAAACGCCACAGGGTCTCTTCGATGATTATGGTCTTGGATAATAAAATTCTAAATAATGCTTTTGCATGTTTTCTTTACTTTTCCTAGTGATCTCGTTAGATTGAGCGTTTCTTCTGAATTATAAACGATAAATCTATGCATTTTATGCATGAAAATAGTTTTAAGTATGCTTGTGTGAATAAGCATTTTCGACATTGTAGCATGCACTTTATCTTTTGTTACATATTTTTATACTTATTTTATCTTTATATTTTAGGAAGAATTAGAAGAAAAACGAAGTGTATTAGAAGATCTTGGTTTGGCTTGAATAACCAACAATACTATTCATCTATATGTGAATTTCAATTAGTTGATCTCATAGACTTCCGTTATATATTTCGATTCTTCTTGTTTTAATTATGTGACTATTTAAAAAAGAAAATTTTTAATTAATAAAATTACTCCAGTTATTTATTGTATTTCTATTGTAATAGTTGAATTTATTTTATGTAAATCAAAATAAATTTATATTATGAAAAATTTCTTATTAAACATATTTTGCGATGTCTAGCTTTGAGACATACGTGGAGAGTTTTTATACCCACATTCAATTAGTTTAGTTCTAGTTATAATAAATATATTACAGATATAAAACTTTATATGAAGGCTACATAATTTTCTTACCTATTCAGAAAGTGTATATCGCCTTTAAACTAAAACTTGATATTTATGAAAATTTTATTTAGTATTTATTTTCTCGATTAAAATAAAACGACAAAAGATTTAATCACGTCTGCAACAAAAACAATAAACGCACGTAGCTATTATAATAAACGGAATTACTCCGATAACAATAAGCCCAAGTGATAGTTTATGTATGGAAGCATCACAATAATTATCAGCAGTTGAATTGTTCGATTGATATTGAGTACCTTTTTTGAGTATCCATGAAGCACCCTAGTTTAAATAATGTAATACATGATTTATCGATCTAGTGTAAATATGAAACTTACTACAACTGACCAAATAATCAACAAAAATAAAATAATACCAATTATAGCAACGATGAATCTGGTCATAGCTAATTTTGATGTATTAACACACATATATCTTATGATCATCTACAACTATTAATAATTAGTTCTCAAATTTTAAATATTTTTCTATATCTTACCATTGTATTAACAAATAAGCATCCAGTTATTCCTACTACACCAAAGACAATAAGCCATATTGGCATTCTTGAATCAAATGGACATTCAAATCTTCTTACTCCACCGACAATAATGGTAGCCAAAGGAAGACTAGAAAGTACGATGACAGAAGCAATAAAACCAACGTTCCAACATAGTGATCTGAATTGTTCACTCATCGAAGTTATAAACCGAGTAAAGCGTGGGGACTGATTTGCATTCGACTTATTAGCAGCTTGGTTATATTCCACATTTGTTTGTACTTCCAGATCCTGAACGTGTACCTAAGATAAAAATATTATCGATCTCTCACTGAACTTACAATTACCTGTGCAACTCGCATCGTTGAAAGTTTTACAATAAACTTACATACTCTAGAGAAAAGAAAGATTGACGTATTCGTCACTTCCCTTTTTTCAGACTTTTTCCAACTTAACGTTAATGTAAACAATATTTTACAAAAGAAAGGTTGACGCACTCTTCAGTTCCTTTTTTTCAGACATTAATGTAAATGATATTTAACAAAGGAAAAAGCAAATTCATTGTAACCATATCGAAATAAACATTCTCTTACCTTTTACTGTGTGGTTAAAATAAGCTGTAGTCGCATACATCAATATTATACTTATTGACATGGATGAAAATGAATTGATTTCTTTATTTACTAAAGCAGATTTAACTAGTGTATTTCATCAGTATTGTCTTGATGGGAACTATAATGAAGTTCAAGCTATGATATCGAAATTAACATACGAAGAATTAAATCGAATTGAACCTAATGGATATACTGCTTTACATGCAGCCGTACTTTGTAATCATTTGGATATCGTGAAACTATTACTCAATCATGGATGTTCACAAACAATACTGAATCGATATGGAAGAACTGCTTATCAAGACGCTCACACAGATGAAATGCGTATTTTATTTGTTCGCCCACGTTCACAAAGATTTTTTGATAATAATACTACAGAATCATTTAAATTATTTATTACTAATGGAAATAATATTGATATGAAAAAAGATATACCAGATAGTTGGTTTAAAGGTTATGTACGAGCTGAAGATACACGTGAATCTCAATTTATCTTAGCTCTTGGTCAAGCACCATTTTTAATAAGAAAAATCTATCAAAATCGAATTGAATTCATTAATATGCAGTCTCTATATAGTCTAATTATTGCAAATGTTCCAAGAACACATAAAGAATATGTAGAAGTTAATAATCTATACCAGATATTTGCAAAAAAAAGAAATATTGATCATCTATTAAAATTATACACACTTGAAACAGATATATATAGCGCATTGCAAACTCAACCTGATTCATTTACTATTCTAGTTTATTTACATTTAACGGAACTAAAAGAACGTGCATATCAAGGTCATACTTATCGTGGTGCAAAAATGAATGAGCCAGATATTGCAGCATATCGATGGGCACTATCTAATCAAAATTATATTCTTGAAACACGTTCTATTCAATCAATGTCCAAGGATGAATCAGTGGCTCAAGAGTTTGCTGAATTACAACCAGGTGATAAACGTTATTCTGTCATATTTGTTTATGACTTTCCTGAACGTTGTAAGACGGCTATTGATTTAACAAAAATTTCAAATGATCTACCGTTACTCTCACATTATGAAAAAGAACAAGAAGTTACTTTACTACCATTCACATTGTTCACTGTGTGTAATATACAAACTGCTTCAACAACTGGTCAATATCATATAACACTCAGAAATGTTCCTGTACCTAAACAATCTGCTCTAATGGCATTCAAAAATCTTCGTCATTAACAGATACGAATTATTTTTAATAGTTTATATTTTATATTTCAGCATTCTTTCTCTACTTGATTCAATAATAAAATGTGTGTAAGAATAATAATCAATCATATCAATATATCTTTCTACTTTTACATCCTCATTTTTCATACATCTCACCATAAAAATAAGATAAACAGTAATTAAATAGAAAAAATACTTGTAAAAAAATTATCAAAAGACAATGTATGTACTTTATTACACAGTCGAGGGTGTGGGTGTCTTTCTTTATTGAACATCTACACCCACACCCACCCTCTAGATGGTAGCGCCATTTTTATTTTCGACGTTATTAGGGTTAACCTTTAAAGTGTATACGAACGTCATATTTTTCAGATACTCTTGTTGATCCTTTTCATTTTTATTGTTTTCTACAAAGAAATATAGTTCTTAATATAACACATCTTCAAACGTCATCTCTTTTAGCAGAGAAAAATTAATCTATCAATAACTTATACTAGCATACTCCTGTCATGAAACATCGTGTTTTAATGACTCAACCAAGACGTACGAGCGAACAGAAAGTATTTTTACATACGCTCGGTGTGTTTTTCTTCTTTCTATATAAGAACGATGTGTTTCATCGTGCACAACTATTTTGATAAACAAGACATCGCCACAATGACAGAACAAAAACGTGTAATTTTAGTGACTGGAGCAAATAAAGGTATTGGTTTTGAAGTTGTGAAGAAATTACTTCAGCAATCTTCTTCAAAAGCCACTGACATTATTCTTCTTGGTAGTCGAGATATTAAACGTGGTCAAGATGCAATTCAACAATTAGGTTCTCCAACAAATGTACATTTGTTACAATTGGATACATCATCAAAAGAAAGTATTATAGCTGCTATCAATGAAATCAAAGAGAAATATAATGGTCATTTAGATATATTAATTAATAATGCTGCGATCGCACCAAGAGAGAATACAATTGAAGCAACACGAACAGCGTTTGCAACTAATTATTATGGTATTAAAATGCTTAATGAATATTTGATCCCTCTATTACGTGAGAATGGTCGTATAGCTAATGTTGCTAGTGGTGTTGGTCCAATGGTATCATATCTTTTTTCAAAAGAACTTCAACAAAAATATACATCACCAACATTAACAACACAAGAACTTGATAATATTGTTGAAGATTTTCTTTCAGCATTCGAATCTCATAATCTGGAACGTATTGGATATTCTTCTGAAATACCTTTTCCAGCATACACTATTTCCAAAGCTGCATTGATTGCTCTTACTCGAATTCAAGCACGTGAATATTGTAATAACAAAAATATATCTATTTATGCTGTATGTCCTGGTTTTTGTGCCACCGATCTTAATAATCATGCTGCTGGCAGTCGATCAGCAGCAATCGGCGCTGATTCTATTCTGTATGTGATTGATACACCAGCAAATGAATTAGAAAATGGTGCATTCTATCAAGATGGTAAAAAACTACCAGAAATCTGTGACGATGAAGCTAAAGTAAAAGCATTTGTCGAACACTCCAAGACATTACTCAAACCAAAACAGTAATATTGAAGAGGGCGGGTGTAGATGTTTAATAAAGGCAGAGACACCCACACCCTCATATTAATATGATAATGATCAAGAAAAAATATATTATTCAAAATTCAATAATTCTATTTCTTTTTTTTATCTTTTCTCTCTTCATTTTTATTTTTATCAGTAATATAAATAATAATACAACGAAGAAAAGGTTTCGTTCGATGTATAATTGTCAATAATAACATATATATGTATACCTAATAAAAATGAGAAGAAAATAAATCAGTAAAAAAGAATTCTTTTTATCGATTGATATCTATTGAATAAGTGAGTTCTATCTGAAAGTTATCAGAATAAATATTAATTGTATTTTATCTTCATTTTATATTTGGAAAAAATGGACAAAGATAATATTATCTTGATATTTCATATACACTGAATAAAAAAGATAATGTTTCATATATAAATATTAAAGGTCTACTGCAGAAAGTATTATTTGTCTTTTTTTGACCCATATAACTACGTTAAACAAGTATTAAATAGGTCAAACAACAAAGAATTCATTTCTTCATTGGAGTTCTCTTTCGTAAAACATAGGATGAATAACAAACCAACATGCAGTAAGTAGATCTCATTTAGATTTTTTTATAATTTTTTGTTGTAACTGATTTTTCAGTTACTTTCTTCTTGATGTTATCAACACTATTCATTATTATATCCACAAATTCAGGAAATGCTCTTCCTATTAGTTTAAGATCAATATTCACAGCTAATAAATCAAGTAAGTTAAAGAATAACTACTGATTCTAAATCAAATATAAATGGTTGTTTAACATCAATAAGTTTGTGTTTTTTGCTTCCATCTAGAATGGTCTGAAACTGGCCATTTAAATAATCCACGACTTTATCATGCGGCAAGTTTGCTATTAGATGGAAAGGTATTAGTTACTGGTGGAGAAGCTGATGACGCTTGTTCCACTGCAGAACTTTATGATCCAATATCAAAAAATTGGACAAAGTGTTACAACATGTTTTATGGTCGATGGGCTCATACAGCAACTGCATTAAGAAATGGGAAAGTTTTAATTGCTGTAGGATATGTTGGAGAGCTAGAACCTTTGGGTAATGTCAAATACATGTATAATGAGGCTGAGTTGTATGAGACATCAACAGGATATTGGTTCCATACCACTAGCATGAATATCGAACGGTACTTTCATACAGCATCCTTATTACAAAATGGAAATGTTTTAGTTGTAGGTGGATCCGATGATGCACCCAACAGTGCTGAAATATATGACCCAAAAATGGAAACTTGGATAAATACTACAGATATGCATTATGCACGGAGATGGCAAACTGCAACTGTGCTAAAAAATGGACAAGTATTAGTTACGGGTGGGTGGGATTTTTCGTCTAATATGATGAACAGTGCAGAAATATATGATCCATCAACAAACACATGGAAAGTTGTTGGCAGTATGAATTATAAACGATGTTTTCATACAGCAACATTATTAACGAATGGTAAAGTGTTAGTCGCTGGAGGAATATATGATGATCATAATATTGTAAACAGTACGGAATTATTTGATCCATCGACTGAATCCTGGACAATTACTGGTAATATGACTCAAGGACGATACCTACATACAGCATCATTACTGAAAAGTGGAAAAGTATTAGTTTCTGGTGGAGGCAGTTTTACTAGTGAGTTTTCAACTGATGCTGAACTGTATGATTTCTCAATAGGTGTGTGGACAAATACGAGTAGCATGAATTATCAACGTGCAAGCCACACAGCAACGGTGCTAGCAGATGGAAATGTGCTAGTTATTGGTGGTAATTATGACGATCACATGACAGCAATCACACCCGAACTGTATAATTCATCGATGGATATTTACATGTCTACGAATAACATGAAATTAAAAGAATAAAAAGAACATGAATTATATCAATTCAATAGACATTCGAAATAATAGTTTTTGACTTTTTATATACTAATTCGTACTCGCTCCTTTTACTTTTTAATAAAATAAAAAAATAATACAGAAACAAATGATCGCGTACTGCTGTACATTTTAAAAAAAAATAGTTATCCAAATTCATCCCTTGAAATGTACTTTATAACAAAAATGCTCCTTATATCATATTTCATTCCAATCATCATGAGGAAAATAGATAAAGATAATGTACATTGAATACAAACACATTTTAAATTTAAAAACAAACTAATACTGCAATGTCTACCACGTAAAGAATTACTTATCTTATTTGACCCATATAATCGCGTTAAACAAGTACTAAATAGGTCAAACATTAAAGAATTCGTTTCTCCATCTCAGTTTACCTTGAGGGTGTGAGTGTCGATGTTTAATAAAGGAAGAGACACCGATACCCTGAATTTTTTAGATCAAGTGAAGAGAAAATGACAATCATTCTCATAAAATTGAAGTTGAAATAAATACCAAAAAAATTAAAAAAGTTGTTTTTATTTGATACCTATAAAAGTAAAACATTGTAATGAAATAAATGAAACTCACTAAAAGACTTTCATTCAATCACTTTTCTCTCATAGATACGATTTTATAAAAAAAATATTTGAATTTTCGTCATTATAGAACACATAATGTAGATTAAACTATTCTTATCTTTGATTCTCTTTTATAAAGGTTAAGATTAATTTACTTTTTATAATTAATCTTAACAATATTTCTATAATTCAGATCAAACTATCAACGTATTTACACTATCTTCATCATTTCATTGAATATGGAATCAAATATTAAATTGTTCATTACAACAATGTAATATATATTCATCAAATAATTTTACTTGTCGTTTACAATCAACGCCGTGTTTTTATTATCATACAATGAATAATACGAGTTACTGTACACCTAGAATTCAATGTTCAATTTCAGAACCATGTGATAATATTATTCATATATGTTCATCACAAATTGTATGTTTACCATTAATAGCAATAAATTTCTGTCGAAGAGGTATAATAATTTTACAATAATTAACTAAACTTGCCTCATATGATGTTAATTTTAGGATGGTTTAATAATGGACGTATGAATAATGCACGATGGTTGCACACAGCATCTGTATTATCTAATGGAAACGATTTAGTTATTGACATTGACACAAATCCTGAGTTATATGATCCATCAACAGGAATATGGACATTGATCGGTGATAGAGGCAACATGCCGATTGTATATATACCGTGTTTATTAAACGATGGAAGAATTTTATTGATCTGTTAAATCTGTTTAGTTTTTTCTCTAAAATACAATTCTAGTAAAAGAGAAACATTTACACTGTCACTCATATCTTCAAAAATAATAATAAAACCTTTTCTATTTAAATGAATCAATAAACAATGAAAAACTTAATGGTATAATACGATTTATATTAACAAGTTTTCATAATTATATCAACGATAAGGTGTGAAATGTACGGATGTCTTTTTCTCACGTCGCACACTTCCATTCTTAAGATGGTAAATCTGCTAATCAATAGATCAACTGAAACAGAGAAGAAGACATGAATGTGTCAACTAGCGTATATTTATACAATCAGAATTCTATATCTCTTCTTGTATACTAATTCTTAAGATTTGATTTTTATAAGAAGCATCTTCTCTGATCAATAAAGTTTTTGTCGATTATTAGTGACATTTTGAGAATACATCGATGTTCTTGCTCGCTTAAAGAATTTTTTTGAAGGCAGCTATCTAAAGAAATGCTGACGTATATTGATTCTTATCTACTATTAATAAATATTAATCATTACCAAATCGTCAAGCAGTTGTATCTTTCTTTTAAATTTATCTCATCACGTCACCCCACTCTTTCTTATGAATAATAATGACGCACTATTCGTATTGACGTCAATCGTTGTGGTTCTTATCTGTTATAAGATATAAGAACTTCGCCTTTAAATATACAAGTGCTCAGACAATATCGTAGTAGAAGGAGTGTCTGCTTCAAACAAAGAATATAAAAGCATTTGTTCAAATGAAATTAACGCTTTTCGGATCAGTAATCATTTTACTGATTTGTGATTGTATTCAAGGTAAGTGTATCACATACTTTCAAAAACGATCATCTACAAGTTTACTTTCGCTTCTCTTAATAGGAAAACCTTTGATATCCTCATTGAATTGTACACAGTATTCATCTGATCTTGATGTACTTCATTCATTGCCATTCAATATTACAATTGCAAATGGAACTACAAAGTGTACACCAAGAGGTCCATGCGCGACAATTAATTCTCATCAACAAGTAACCAGTTTCGATGTGTGGAATCGCGGACCACAAGAGGCTCTTCAGGTGTACTGTCTTACGCATCTATCACAACTGAGATTACAATTTCATGAACCGCAATGGCATATACCAACGGAGATTGGTGACTTGACGGACGTAATGGCACTTTATCTTGAGAATATCGCTGATGGGAGTGATATACCAGAGACAATTGGAAAACTGACTAATCTAGAATGGTTAAGCGCAACTGCATGGAAATTAACCGTACTTCCAGATTCGTTAGGCAACTGCAAAAAACTAAGGTTTTTATCTATTGCTGCTCCATTGAAGCAATTGCCAATCTCTCTCAGTCTTTTACCTCTAGCGAACCTATGGGTAACTTATTTCGCTGGCTCATCAGTTCCACAGGATTTCTTTCACAGTCTTAATCCAACATTGAAAACACTGAGAATCAATATTTCCAAGTTTGAATCTTTTGATAGTTTTTCCACTTTGACTAATCTTGAAGTGTTGGAAGTGGTAAGCACAGGCCTAATGGAAGTTCCCGTGGAATTTAACGCTCTCACTTCTATCAAAGGTTTTCATGTAGCAGGCAAGAATAATCTATCTCGATTGTCCGAGGACTTCCCCATCGAAAATTTAGAGAGATTACTTCTTGAAAATAATTGTTTTACTAAACTTCCGGTGCAAGCTTTACTCAGTAGAAATTTAGAGGCACTCGAATTATCTGGTAATCGACTTGTTGATATCTCGGAAATTGTGCTAGCCAAAGGTCCATTACAAGATGTACGATTCTCGAATAATAAGATTGAGACATTACCCGAGACCATCAACAAACTTGGTGATAGTTCACAATCACTTTATATGAATGGAAACCGACTGCGAACTGTACCAGCAGAGGAACTGGTGAAAATGAAAAAGCTAAGATTATTAGATATAAGTAATAATCAAATATCGGACAATGAGAAAGCACGTCTACGAACTATTTTTGCAGCGAATCCAAGTCTTCATGTTCAGTTTTAAGCCTTTCAACGTTGAGGTCTATTTTTTCTTCTAATTTTTTTAAATGATTATTGACATTCTAATCTTCAAATGAATTCTTTTGTGCAAACAACGCTACGCCCTACTTTTCTGTGGTTTTCTTTTTTAATTGAAATAAACTTAATGAAGGAACGACTTACAACAATAAGCACATTGATATGCGTCATTTAGTCGAAGACGAGTGTGGTTGGGTGCGGGCGTAGATGTTTAATGAAGGAAGAAACACCCACACTCACCCGCGTCCATTCCACTTTTCATCATGTGGCTATATCTCGTGATGTTTGCTATTTTCTAGTATGTTACCTTCGATTAATTCATCTGTCTTTTTCTTTAAATTATAGCACGTGTTGTGTACAGAATAATCGAATATATAAGACGGACATTTTATTCATTTCAGATATAAAATTAATCGAATCATAGCCAATAACGATAAAGATATATAGGACGAAGTAAGGAAAATAGAAAGTAGAATTTGTAATAAACATTCATTTTTAATAGTTATCTAAAACTGTATTAGAAGAAGTAAATCATGCATTTATAACGGCTAAAATTTTAAATAAAGATAAAAACAGCGATCAATCGTCTCACATGACTCGAGCTCATTAATTAGGCATGAAAGTGAATGAACTTCATGGAAAATATATTGGTCCACATAATACTTTACGTGAACTACAATTAGAAATGTTTTCAGGTAAAACATATTTTATTTATGATTTTAAATTATGATATATATTTTTAGTTGATTCATCTTTGAATTGGCAGTATTGAAAAGTATTATTCGATGATAATAAGTACTTGTCTTTTTTTTATTGTATCAAAAAGTATTTAATGCTAAATTTGTTTTTCTCGTCTGTTTCAGTACTAAACTTACAATTAAGTGTATCGAAATCCTCATTCTATGCATAAAACTAAATGAACAAAACATTCGTGATTGACATTGTCGTTTATTACATGAATGGTAAACCCACGACGACGGTTCCTGAAGCAGGATTCCATGAATTTCCGGCGAAATCCCTAAAGAAAATCACCGTTTTCGGCAGGAACTCCGCGGGTAAGATTTGATGTGTTATAGCGTTTTCCGGGAAATCCAATTTTCCATTGG